GAAGAAGAAGAAGAAGAAGAAGAAGAAGAAGAAGAAGAAGAAGAAGAAGAAGAAGAAGAAGAAGAAGAAGAAGACGTTGTTTTAAATAAATACAAGCTGACTAAATATTAAAGAACTAATATAAAATGACTTTAAAACTTTAAAAGATAAAATCACAATTGGCCCTAAGTGGGGAGAATATCATTAATAAAAACACAAATAAATAAATAATATATAAAATTCATATTCTTACCAAAAGTGGGTCTTTACTAGATGCCCAGTGTAGAAAGTGCATGCTTTTATCATCAGTTCTGGAGTCATCTAAAATAAACAAACAACTGAAATAATTGAAATCAGAAATAAATAGGGTCTATGGCAAATAAATAGGGTCTATTTGCCTATGACAAATCCACCAGAGAATGAGAGCAATGATTGCCTCCAGGAGCGTAACTGGGCACCTGGGAGTAGGCAATGGATTGAAAGAACAATCTGCTGCTTACATAGTTAGGAATTTTATTACATATGCCATTGTCTACTTTCTAAAAGTTAGAGTCATACCTTAAAGTCATCCCATTACATTAGACTTACCTTAAAGAACTTTCAAGTAAGCATTGAGGCATTGTTATTATTAGCTACATTAACAAGAGTACGGAACTGTAGATCTGCTGGTCACTATTAAGATTTAGTAAAGCTTGGTGCTGGTGGCTCACACCTATAATCCTAGCTATTCAAGAGACTGAGATCTGAGGATCGCAGTTCAAAGCCAGCCTGGACAGGAAAGTCTGTAAGACTCTTATCTCCAATAAACTACTCAGAAAAAAAACCAGAAGTGCCCCCCTGTGACTTAAGTGGTAGAATGCTAACCTTAAGCACAAGGTTGCTCAGGGACAGCGTCCAGGTCCTGAGTTCAATCCCCAGGATTGGTACACACACACACACACACACACACACACACACACACACACACAATTAAAAAAAGGATTGAGTGATTTGCTTCTTGGAGGTATAAAATGAGATTATTTTCTATTTTCTTTTTGGGAGGGCTGTCTCAGGACCCCAGGGCAATCCTGGGGCTTGAACTCAGGGTATGTGCACTGTCCCTCCATTTTTGCTTGAGGCTAGTGCTCTATCACTTGAGCCACAGCTTTTTGGTAGTTAATTAGACATAAGAGTCTCACAGATGGGCTGGGAAGGTGGCTCAGTGGTAGAGTGCTTGCCTTCCTTGCATGCCTGAGGCCCTGGGTTCGATTCCTCAGCACTACATAAGCAAAAAGAAAAAAGCCGCAAGTGGCGCTATGGCTCAAGTGGTAGAGCACTAGCCTTGAGCTGAAGAGCTGAGGGACAGCGCCCAGGCCCAGAGTTCAGGCCTCATGACCGGACCCCCCCCCCCGCAAAAAAAAAGAGTCTCACAGATTTTCTTGCCTAGCCTGGCTTCAAATCACAACCCTCAGATTTCAGCCTCCTGAGTAGCTAGGATTGCAGTCATAAGATATGAGCACCCAGCTCTATTTTCTTTTTAAAAATAAAAGAATGCCTCATTTACAAAGCAGGATGTTTTGGGGGAAGTTGTAGTTCCGGGGCTTAAACTTAGGTTCACATACTCTCACTTAGCTTTTTTACTCAAGGCTGATGCTCTACGACTTGAGCCACAACTCAACTTCCAGCTTTTTGGTGGGTAGCTTGAGATAAGAATATCACACTTTCTTGCCTGGTCTGTCTTTGAATTGTAATTCTCAGATCTCATCCTCCTGAGTAGCTAGAATTACAGGTGCGAAGCACCAGTACTTGACTAGGATAAAAAAAAACACCATAAATTAAAAGTCTAATTTATGCTAAACTATGTAATGTGCACAATGTTACCTAATACAATTAGTTACAATAACAGGTCTCAAGTAAGTGCTAGAGAAAGCAGCTTCCTTACACATGCCATCAATACATCACTCAAGACTAACAAAAATGTTTAATGGGTGTCATCAAATATTTAAATATCAACCAGTAGGGGATATACAATTAAGCAATATATACAATATGCAAAAAAGTGCCCCTGGATAGAAGATTTGGCTATAGAAAGATTGAAAACATTCACTATACCTTTTAAAAAATATAGTAGACCTTAATAACACTGCTAGAAAAAAACAAGAAAATGCTGATTGTCATGAGATAATTCATCTTCAACTATGACATATTATGTATTTTCAAATGTCATGTTTTTAACAGGTGCTGGTGGCTCATACCTGTAATTCTAGCTACTCAGCAGGCTTATATCTTAGGTTCATAGCTCAAAGCCAGCTGGATTAGCTAAGTTCATGAGACTTTTATCACCAAGTAGCCACCAAAAAGCTAGAAGTGGAGCTAAGGGGAAAGTGGTAGAGTGCCAGCCTTCAGTGAAAAGCTAAGGGATCATCCCAGGTCCTGAGTTCAAGCCCCAGTACTAGCACTAAAAGAGGAAAAGAAGAATAGGACTTCTAGATCTAACTGCCCAAGAGAAATAAAACCAGAGAAAAGAATGAGAATAAGGGATAATTATGAGACATACCAGCCATTTCTTTCAATGAATACAATGCAAAGGAAAATAAAGAGAACAGTTGCCAATTACAAAAGAATTAAATACAGAACAACCAAGTACAATATGTGACTATACATTCTGATTTGGATAGAGTTATATGTAAAAAGACATATTTGAGACAACTTGGGAAATATAAATATGGAATATATTAATATAATCAGTGCCGGATTATATTCAGAAATCATTGCTATTTATTATGTAAAACAATATACCATTTTTATTTTAATTAAGATACCTAAAGATGAATTATACATCTTAATGAGAACCATGTTTTGATATAAATTTACACATTAATTAATGTGTTATATAAGTAGTGGTTATCTACATATGCATATCTTCTATGTATTTCCTCATTTGTCATTTCTTTATGGTGATGACAATCTGCAATATCTTTTCTTCTAGCTTTGTCAGATTATAGTTTGTAAATATCTTCTCCCATTCTGTAGATTGTCTTTGTATTCCCGTGATTGTTTCCTTTGTTATGAACAAACTTTTTAGTTTAATATAATCTTACTTGTCTATTCTCACTTTTATTTCCTGGGATTTTGTCCAAAAATACCCTAGCCCAATGTTCTAAAGAATTTCCCATGTTTCCTGTTAGTTGTTTCATTGCTCCATATTTAAGTTGATTTCACATTTGAGTTGACTTTTATAATTGGTTGACTTTTGTAATTTGTGTTTTTCTGCATGTGAATATCAAAATTTTCCAGGACCATTTACTGAAGAAAAAGAAAGTACTTTCTCCAGTGCATGTTCTGAGTATTTTTGTTGAAATTCACTTGGTTGCAGATTCTAGCCTCTCTAATTTAGTTTTATTGTTCTACATATCTGTTTTAATATTAATACCATGATATTTTGACTACTACAGCTTTGTAGTATGTTTTGAAGTCAGGTACCCTAATCATTCTTGCTTTGTTCTTTTTTGCTCAAAATGGCTACCTAGGATTTTCTGTGGCTCCATTATTTTACGATTTTTTTTCTTGTTCTGTGGAGTATGATTGGTTTATTCATAGGAATTGCACCAAATCTTTAAATCACTTTAGTATGAAGATTTTAATAATTACTGATTTTAAGACTTTGTTTTATAAAACTGCCTCCAACTTTTGGTTATGTTTTTCTGTCTCAGTATTAAAACATTGTTTTAACTGTTCACTAAGTTTTCTTAAAACAACTGTCTTAAACCCTCTGAGAGTTCTCCATTCTGATTTCTATCTTGTCTATTTCCAGAATTTTACTAGGTCATTCATGGTTTCATGGGAATTCTTGATGTCTTTTGGTGTGTGACATTCTCTGGGCATTGAAGAGCTAGGCATTTATGCCAGTCTTGCTTTGTTTTGCCTGTCTTTCTAGAAATCCTAGGTGGGCTGATTATTTTCTGCCTGCAGTCAATTCCATTATTTCATCTCTGAATGGTGCTCAGATCTAAATCCACTAGGAGTCCTGTTGGTGCTATTATAGAGGGCAAACCAAGCCTGGAATAGAGTCCAAAATACATTGTTGCTATGCTGTTCAAAAAGTACCAAGGGAGTTACTAGAGAGAGTAGTTTGTCCCTACAAGAATCTTCTTGGCTAAGAAAGGCCTAGATGCCTCATTCACTGTTGCCAGCCTTTAGCCAGGCACGTTGTTCTACTATGAGCAGATACATCATCATTGGCCAAGCCCTTATATCAAACCTGTGACCACCAAAAACACAGAGCTGTCACACTTGAGCCCACAACAATGGCTTTCACTGTGGCAGAGCTAATAACTTGGATTCAAGCTTAAAGCCAACTTAGACTGTCTGTGTCTATCTGTCTGTCTGTCTGTCTGTCTGTCTCTCTCTCTCTCTCTCTCTCCTTCTCTCCCTTAACTGAGAGGCATCTTGCAGGATGCTTTGCAGGCTCTTCTTTCTTCCTTCCTTTCTCAGTGCCTTTTTCACTTTTCTATTCTAAAAGTAGGCCCTATGGTATCTCCCCAGTTTGCCTAACTTTGGGAAAATAGTTTCAAGTGTGAACAGCTGTTCCACTTGGCAGGCCTGTTAGGGGACAACCCCCAGAGGCTCTTATTCAATCACCGCCTTGCTCCACCCTTGACACTGAATTTATACTCCCTAAAACCATCATTTCCTGTCATAGATGCATGCTTAAGTATTTATTGGTAAAATAATGTAATTTCTGGGATTTTCTAATATTTCAGCCGAAAAGAGTGAAAGGGGGGATAAATTAACAGTAGGGACAAAAGATCAATTGTTGTTCCAGCTAGATGGGAGGTGATAATTATGGTTTTCTCTCTTACTTTTGTGTTATAGTTCAACTTTTCCATAATAAAAAGATTTTTAATGTTTTATAGGCCATTATTTGTTATTTGTAAGTTTAATTCCTAAGGAGATTTCATTTCCTAAGAAATGAGAACCAAGCCTAAAGTTAGTTTCCTTTTTATACTGGTTTATACTTCCATGTTAGAACCTACAATGAAGCTGTCTTTGTCTCTATAGTTAGGACAGTAATTCCTAATTTTTTAAAGTAATGATTTGGCTTACTGATATTTTCCTTTATCTGCTTTTCTAAAAGGATACATATTTATTCTTTATGATGGTCATATATAGGTAATCCTCACTCTGTAGGACTGTGTAGTATAAGACTGTGAAACCTGCAAACCATCCTTGAACTCAGGGCCGTGGCTCTGTCCCTGAGCTTCTTTGTGTTAAAGGATAGCACTCTATCACTTGAGCCGTAGCTCCATTTCTGGCTTTTTCTGTGTAGTTAACTGGAGATAAGAATATCATGGACTTTCCTGCCCTGGCTGGCTTCAAACTGAGATCCTCAGATCTCAGCCTCCTGAGTAGCTAGGATTACAGGCATGAGCTACTGGTGCTCGGCTTGAACCATCCTTTAAAAATGTGAAAAGTTGTTCTAGGAATTAAAGCTGTTAAGTAAAGCTAATATTTATTTATTACATTATAATTTAGATATGTATCAGTATATATATATATATATGACTGATCATATATACTGATGATTTGAGTGCCTTATTTCTTTATTTAAAACAAAACAATCAACAAAAACAACAACAAATCCTTCATAGTATTATACCTCCTAAATAAGCACAAGTTCAAAACCCAATTACTGGGGGAAAAAAAGTCATTTTTCTCTCTGAGAATGAAAGAGAAATGAATTGATCCAGATTCAGTCTGGGTTACACCTTCCAGCTAAGCAACTCAAAAACATACCTGGAGGTTCATATTTTCATTATTGTGGTTTCAAACTGATAACTCATTCCTATTTTCTGCTAACTTGTGAGGTACATTTCTTTTCTACACTTCTAAAGTTCAGATCCATTTCCATTATTTCATCCTTTGCGCTTTCAACATAGTAAAGTTAATTCCTTCTGGGTTCTTCCCAGAATAGCTGTGTCTCCAAGTCACCCCAGGCTGGGCAGAATCATCTCATCCCTCTTTTTGTTTCTTTGTTGCAGAACATTACTTAGTAAGCAGCAGAACTCAATCCATCCTTGTAAATGGATACTTTGAAGTGTTCCTTGCTCTTAGCACCTATTGGAACATCCTTTAATTGCAATTTTCACAGCCCAACTTGACCAGCAAGCCCTATCCTGTCTTGGATCATCTAACATCACATAGTGTCCCCCATAGCTGATTTGTGTTGATCTCTTTCTCCCTATGGACTTTTTACTATTTTAGCTTCTTTTTACATTCACAGTCTTTATTCTAAAAGTCTTTGTCTTCTTCCTTGTCCTAGTTTAGAGGATCAAAAAACGGCTCTTTTCAGGAACAATTAGGTCTGGCTTTCAAGTTCAGTCTCATAAATAGCTTGGCCCCTATCTTTATGAGCTGATTCCCTCATCTGTGAGGGCAGCCAGCAGAGAATGGAGGATTAAACACAAAGGGAATCAGATTAGAAAGAAAACATTCTCCCTTAAAGTTTTCCTAAGAGTTTTCCTAAAGTTTTCCTAAAGTTTTATTCATGAAAGGAGCAGACAGAGAAAAGAGAAAGGTCAACATTAAGAATAAAGAGGAACAAATGCCTATGAGCTTCCTGGAAATAATCTGACTTCAGACCTTCCATACAATCTAAAATCTATTTGAGAATTTTCACCAGAACTTAAGATATATATTTTAGATGCTTAGTAACTAATAATTACCAGCTGATCATCCAGTCCAAAAAGTTGTTCCATGTAAGTTTCAGATAATCTTCTAATTTTTGGTTTCATTGATGGCTCGATGCACATATCCCTGAAACAAAATCATAAAAAGATGTCAAAATTAATTTCACAATAGTTTGATAGTTAAGTTGCTCATTCTTCTTAGTAGCATAAAAAGGAGGGAAAAAAGTACATGTCCCCTTAAGAGAAGCAGGCAGGAAGGAGGGTGCTCTTTCTCTCTCTCCCTCTCTCTCTCTCTCCCTCCCTCCCACACCTCCCCCCCTCTGTCTATATATACATATATATACAATGCATCCAAGACTTTGATGAGTCCCTCAAGGTTGTACTTCCTTCTTCCTCCTCCTCAACTTGAAATAATCCAACTGTGGTCTCATGTACTGGTAAAGAGAGTACACTGTATTTCACAAGTTGAGAACCAGTGAGCATGTATGTTATTTATATTTGTCTTTAGGACCCAAAAGCCTACAGAAGAACTGTTAATAATCTGAAATTGGACATTTTATTGATAGTATTCAGAGAGTATTTTGACTTCAAAGTGTTTCCTTATCATCAGCTAACACAATACTTACCATAGAAGACTTTCAAGACCATTTTCAATGATAAATATGATCATTTCTTCTAAGTATCTCAGTGGGTCCTCAGGACATGTAATAAGTATACCACATAACAGTGCCTAGAGAAAAAAGAAACAGTCAGTGTTTCTGAATTTGCATGTTCTATTTCTGTAAAAAATGAACTTTGCCATATAATGAATAAGTCATAATTTTAAATCAAACATACTTTTTAACTATTCAATGGTGATATTTGGAGATATTTTTGCTAAAGTCAAATAAAAACAAGTATACATAGCTCTTTCTAAAACTCTAACCGAAATGACAAAAATAGAGTCATTGTACAGTATTTTGCATGATATGAAAACTAAAATCCTGGAATGAATTTGAAGACAGAGTTATGATGCTTTACATCAGTAGTTTCTGCTTCAGCATGAGAAAAATTTATAGCTAAAAAGTTCCTCAGACTCAACCACAAAAAATGTTGAGAAAAGTGGTTGTGGATCTTTGGTGTAGCTTAGTGGTAAAATGCTGAATTTAAATATCTGAACCCTTAATTCAATTCCCAGCACTGAAAAAAATCTATTATGACTGAATTTTATCAAAGTATACTTGTATTATTTTTTGTTGTTGTGATTGAACATGGGGCTTGAACTCAGGGTGTAGGTGCTATACCTGAGCTCTTTTGTTGAAGGCTAGTGCTCTACCACTTTGAGCCACAACTCCACTTCTGATTTTTTTGGTGGTTAATTAAAGATAAGAGTCTCACAGACTTTCCTGCCCAAGCTGGCTTTGAACCTTGATCCTCAGATTTCATCCTCTTGAGTAGCTAGGATTACAAGTGTGAGCCACAAGCCCTGGGCTGGACTTGTGTTCTTATATAATTTGATTATACAAATTGTATTTGTATGTTGTCATCCACAACACACACAGAGTATATTTATTGGGAATATTGCAGTTCAGTGCACCTAAGTGGCAAACAAATGACTTAATGGATCAAAGCTAATATTTAAATTTCATCTTTGAATTAGGGAAACTTGTTGCTGTGTTGCTTTTTTCTATCCAGTCTTCAAAGACATATGGAAGGAATTACTGAATATTTCTCCATTTCAGACAGGGACAAAGGTTTATAGCCCATAAGCTACAGAAACCATCTGAAAATCCCCCTAGGGGATTTTTAGGCTCTTTTCCCACCTAGAAATCATACCTGCTGGTTTTCTCCTGCACTTCTCCTTTGAGAACAAAATATTCCCAACCCTTGAGTTAGCAGAGCCATGCTTCCCATTTCCACGGCCAAGTGTAGCAGACTAAGCCCAGGAGCTTCATCAGTTTTCACAGTATCTTCAGGAAGGAAAGGAGGGAGTTTGAAAGATGTACAGGGAGGGGAGAGAAGGAGAAGAAAGAAGGAGGGAGGGAGGCAGAGAGACACAAGAAGGGAAGGAGGAAGAGAAATGTGGAGAAAGAGAAGAGGAAGGAGGACGAGAAGGGGAGAAATCTAATTGAATCCTGCATACTACAATTTAACCCTTTGCAAGAGTTCTTCCCTTACTTATTGTGCAGCCTGCAGATTGGGAATCCACCTCTTAAGACAATGGCAAAATGTCTTAGATTTAGACATTAGATCCCCAGCTCTACCTCTTGACCTAGCTTACATCCCAGCTGCTCTCAGAGATGGCTCCATCACCTGCAGACTGATTTGCTTTCCTCCCAAACCGAGTTGCACAGAACCACAGTGGTTCTCACCACAGTTGCAAGCTGGATTTGGAAAAAGTGTCTATTACCTAAAAGCCAGCCAGTTAGGTCCCACATGGAAGCTGACCTCTTCTATTCAAACAGTATTCTGTTTCATCCTTCACCCTGATAAAAAGCCCATCTGCTATCTGGCACTCCTGTGTCGTGTCTCTAGGACACTGAATTTCTATGATTGCAACTCCACGTCCTGCTCTGCATCTTATTCTGGCACCCTGCAGACATCCACATCAGAATCACCTCAGTCTCTGAGAATGGAGCCTGGGAATCTGCGTTCTAGTATGCTCCCCCAAGATGATTCCTATGCACATAGAAGTCTGACAACTATTGCCTTCAGGGAATTTTAAGAAAGTTGGGATCTGATTAATGAATAGCAGAGATTGCAGGTTTCTTTCTATTTCCAGTCTAAGATAAGAAAATTAGATTTCTTTTGAACTAGGATCAGTCTCCTAATGTTGCCCAGGCTGGCTCATAGGATGACAGGAATGCACCATAGGGCCCAGCTTTTGTATCTTTAACAAATTTAGGTGCAGCAATTAATCCTTAAAAGGAAAAATATCTACACCATGATTTCTGCCTATAATCTCAGCTACACGGGAGGTATAGATAGAAGGATCATAATCCAAGAGAAGCATGGGGGAAATGCAAAATCCATTCTGAAGCAGAAAGGGCTGAGGCATGGCTTAAAATGGTAAAACACCTGCAAGAGCAATCTTGAGGCCCTGAGCTTAAACCTCAGTACTACATGCACACAAAAAAGGCAGATAAATTGATGTTAGGTGAAATGAACCCCAAGATAAGCACTCAAATGGTTTTTCTTTCTTGCTATTGTTTCTAACA